TCCTTCCTTCCTTCCTTCCTTCCTTCCTTCCTTCCTTCCTTCCTTCCCTTCCCTTCCCTTCCCTTCCCTTCCCTTCCCTTCCCTTCCCCTGATATGGCTGCCCTTTTTATCTGCCAGAACCCCCCCAGCTGCTCACAAAATGACCCCGTCATCACCCTCAAGCCATAAAACCAGAACAAAAGCTCTCCCAGACCCATATATATCCCCGTAGGGTTTCCCTGGGCCGAGCCTCAGCCCCATCCCACCCCACATCCCCAGGGCCCTGGCAAAACCCCTCCTGCGCTGGGCCCTCCAGCCTGACCTGCTCTCCGTCTCTGGCTGAGGATTTTGCTGCTCCTTCGGTGGGTGGACTCGCAACTCAGCTGCATTGTCTTTGGAGGGCCCAGCCTTCTCTCTCGCCAGCTCCTGCAGCGCAATCAGACATCCCGTGAGCCAAAGACCTGGCCTACCATTTACCCATTCATTGCAGGGACTCCTCAGATTACCACAGTTCGTTCAGTGACCCTTCGAATGCACTGAAAACACAGGAGACTTATGACCGCTATTCACACTTAACGACCGTTTCAGCATCCCCGCAGCCACGCGATCGAAATTCAGATGCTTCTCAACTGACTCATATTTACAACGGTTGCCGTTTCCCCGCGATCCCCTTCTTTGACCTTCCATCAACGGGGCAAACCAGGTCCACTTAGCGGCCGCGTTGCTCCCTTAACAGCCTCGCTGATTCATCGAACAACCGTGGCAAGGAAGGGCCCAAATTTACTTGACGCCTCTCTCGCTTAGCCACAGAAATTGGGAGCCGAGTGGCGGTTGTAAACCGAGGACAACCTGCGGACCCCACTCACCTGCTCCAGCACGGTGATGGCTTTCTCCTTGTCCTCTAGTTGCTTCCTCAACTTCGCGTTCTCCTCTTCCAGCTCCCCGAGACTTTGGAGAACCTCTTGTAGGCTGCTGAGCTCGGCGGCCTGCCGGCGCGTTTCAGCCTCCAGGTGGGCCAGGTGGCGTCCCTGCTCAGCCAGCGCTTCCTCTTGCACCTGCGTTTGGGCCTTCAGCCGCCGGCTGTCCTTGTCCGCTTGCCTCCGGCCGCTCTCCGCTTCACTCAGCGCCTCTTCCAAAGCCCCTTTCTCGGCCTGCAGCTGAGCCGAGGTGACCCTGTGCCATTCCACGCTCCGTTGCAGGTTCTGGAGCGCCTGCTGAGCTTCGCCCAGCTCTTCCTCCTTTCCGTGGAGTTTCTGGGCGAGCTGGGCGCTTCGAAGACGTTCCTTCTGAAGACTTTGCTGCGCCCGTTTCGAGTCGACCTCAGCTTGGGTGGCTGCCTCTTGCAGAACCCGCGATCCGGCTTTTAACGTCTCCTTCTCTCGCTCCAGAGCCTGGATCTCTTCCACCAGGCGCGTCGACTCCGAGTGCCACCGCTCACATTCCTCCTGGGCTTCTCCGTACGCTCTTTGGATGCTCCTCAGCTTCTCCGCGAGACTCGACGTGTGTCTTGATTCGGCCTCCCGCGTCTGCTCAGACTGCCGCAGGCGAGCCTGAGCTCTGGACAAGGCAGCCTTCATTTCAGCTACGGAGGTCTCCGATTCCTGCTTTGGAGCCTGGCCTTCCTCCGTTTCGGTCTTTTGGTGTGCCAAAATCCTTGGTTTGTGTTCTTGAACAGCTGTGTTCCCGTCTTCTGCGTGGCTGGGCCGCCGTTCTGGCTAAGTGGGACACAAATCAATTGATGCGTTGCTTGAAAAAAATATGCATTTCCAAAAAAAAAAGAGGGCAGATTTGCAAAAAAGAAACGGGATTGGTCATTTGCATTCTTTTAGACATTCGTTGAGGCCCCTTGGAGGTTTATCTGTGTCCTCAGGGTCACCTGAGCCTATTCACAGAACACAGATAAACCTGAGCATCACCTGAGCCTTCTCCACACACATTTGCACTACTCCGGTGACCCCCAAGGACACAGATAAACCTCCAAGTGGCCTCAACGGCCCTCTAAAAGGATGCAAATAACCAGCAGTCTGCAAGGAGTATAAAACCTTCTATCCAGTCAGAGCTGAAGGAGCTTCTCCGATGAGAAGTGAAACGTCTTCCAAATAAAAACCACAAAATCCAGGTGCCTCCTGAAAAAAACACTTTGGGACACCTTCTCCCTGTATTTACCTTCAAGAAAAACCAGGGAAGGTCAAAATCTGAGGCGCTTCCTCAAATTACATCTCTGCTCTGGACTCAGGTTTCTCTTATCCATCTGCTGCTTTGAGTGTAGCTCCTCCTCCTGTTCTTCCAGGTTATTCTAACCACCCATAACGCCCAATCCCTTACGACAGGACCGGGTCCAACCGCTCTCTCTCTCTCTTCCATACCTGCCCGTCAAGGTTGGCGTCCTTCAGCTGTGCTTCCATACTCTTCAGTCCCGACGCAAGCTGCATCCTCCGCCGTTCCCCGTTCTCCTTCTCTAGGGCTGACAATCGGTCGGCCTCCTTCATCTCACAGTCCAGCAAAAGGGGCATTTCAGGGAATTCTGCAGCCAGGAGGGAGGGGGAAAAAAAACACATATTTTTTTTTCAAATTGCAAATGTGTTAGGGGAACAAAGGCCAGGTGATCTGGGAGAAAGGAACTGAACAACGGGGCAAGTAAAACTCACCATTTACATCCCAGCAAGAGTCTTCGGACCGCGATTCCCTGGGGGAATTCTTCAAAGTTTCTCGCAGCTGCTTCTTCAGGAGCAAATTGTCCGTCAAAAGTTCCTCCGATTGGTAAGAACACTGCTCCAGTTCCTGAGGAATTGAAATTTTAACCGCAAATATTGACTCCACCGTTCCCTGTTTTCCCCCTCTGATTCTCGGCCTCATCTTGTTTGCTCTGAACCGGACTCAAAGGTGGAGAACAGATTTGCCAAGTGTGTGGAGGACTTGAGAAATTCCAAGATTTGGCCTCCATGCGTTTTCCAATCCAGGACAAACAAACAGAAAAAACAAAACTTGGCAACAATACAAGGGGCTGCTTCAAAGAATCTATTCACTCCTGTCAATTTAATTCGTGTTTTTTTTTTTAAAGGAGAATTGTAGTACAAGGTGAGACAATCACACCTGAAACCTGTATATGCAGCAAACTGGACTGTAAATTCCATTAAACCCAACAGTTTGTTTGCTAGTCAATTTCACAGCCTCAGCTAGTCAATAATTGTCTTGAATCAAACAATGCATATGTGATTTAGGCCTACGTATATAGTGGCATTTTTAAACTAATTTACTATATGTTTTAGATAGGTTTTAGAATAGGTTTTTAATTGTTATTATTTTAATTATTTTAATATTTAAATACTCTGTAGTGTGATTGTGATGTGGTGTTTGGGACACTGTGCTGGAGTAGCTTTCAAATTTCATTGTATTTGTAGAATGCAGTGACAATAAAGGTGTTCGATTCTATTCTGTTCTATTCTATTCTATTCCTTATTTTATTCTATTTCTATTCTATTTTATTCTATTCTATTCCTTATTTTATTCAATTCACATTCTATTCTATTCTATTCCTTATTCTATTCTATTCTATTCTTTTTCTATTCTATTCTATTCTATTCCCTATTCTATTCTATTCTATTCTATTCTATTCTATTCTATTCTATTCCTTACTTTATTCTATTCCTATTCTATTCTATTCCTTATTTTATTCTATTCTATTCCTTATTTTATTCTATTCCTTATTCTATTCTATTCTATTCTATTCTATTCTATTCTATTCTATTCTATTCTATTCTATTCTATTCTATTCTATTTCTTATTCTATTCCTTATTCTATTCTATTCTCCGTTTTCCAACTATGTCTCAACCAACAGGTCTCCTTCTCCCCCATACCCTAAAAGTTGTCCAAATTCCAAGCTTGCCCTCCTTAACTGAGTTTCCGAAGTACGAAAGGGGACGGAGAAGTGCTGGGAACGAAAGAAAATAAAAGAGCGTAGAAGGAACCCCCTTGTTTTTCCACCGTACCTCTTGGATCTGATTCAAGTGGTTCTGCAGGCGCAGGTTTTCTTTCTCGGCTTGGCTCAGGCGCTGCCCTCGGGCGTAAGCGGCCTCTAGTTCTTCCTCCATCAAGGCTTTTGCCTCCAACAGGGCCTTGGAGAAGTCGCGTTCCTCCTGAATGAGAATCAAAAAGGATTTCTTTAAGCCCCAAAGGCCCAGGTCTCCGCTCTCTTCCGGAAGATTCTGTGAGGGCAAACTTGCGATAACCATAATAACCAAGACACAAAAAAAGAATAAAGTTTCTTTAATGCCTACAACTTGGCCCCAATGTCCAATTATCCTTGGCTGGAAATCAAACTCTTGAAGAAAACAGTTTACAAAGGGAGTAAATGCAGTCCGCACTCAAAGTAAAGTTAATTCAAAATAAAAAAAACAAAACAAACAGAAACCACACTGAAGGAATTACTACGGCAGGCAAGGATGATTAATTGCAGACTTCTACCAGATAAGCCAAAACACAGATAAGTTCCAGCAAGATTAAAACGTTCTTTGCTTCCAGCACTGGGCCATGCGCAGTTTGTCCTTTTAAACAGTCCTCACAGCTGCAGCTCATGAAGGGAATCAGGGCCCCTTCCTCCCCCATAGACCACACCATTCATTTTTCTCCCTTATCCTCTCCTCCCTGCGTGTCCTAGGATGAAGAGGGGATGGGCCTGGGTCTTCTTCTGACTGCCCAGTCGGCCTGTGCCCTTCCCCAGCTTCCTCCACAACCTCCGGAGCCACACTTCCCCTCCCTGTCGGCTGTTCCTCCTCTCCCTTGGAGTCAGACCCACCTTGAGCTGCGCCCGACATCGTTCCAAGGCTGGTATCCTTTCCCGCAGGGCCGTCAGCTCCGACTGAAGCCTCTCTGCACAGAATGCCTTCTCTCTCAAGGCGTCCAATTCGTCCTGGTATAGCCTGGCTTGGCGCGCCTCGCTTGCCAACGTGCGGTTCTGGGTAAAGAAAGAGCAAACTAGAGATGACATCATCCCAATGATGTCATTCTTGCCAGTGATGTCAAGACACACCCCGTCATTCCAATATCGTCTTGGTTGTTTGCCAATTCCCGCCCCCGTCTTTTTCTCGATCCCACCAGATAGTTAAACGGGTCCTTGAAGATACAGTTGGTCCTCGAACGACGGCCACAATTGGGCCCAGAGTCTCCATTGTTCAGCAAGGCTGTTGTTAAGGGAGCACTGCCCTGTTTTGTGACCTTTCTTGCTGCAGGGAAGGGAATCACAGCAGTTCAGTTGGTCACACCCAGTCATTAAGCGAATCCGGCTTCCCCATTTGCATTGCTTATCCGAAGGTAGCAAATAAGGGATCATGTGACCCCCTGGGACGCTATGGCTGTCATAAACATGAGCCAAGTGCCTGCATTTTGGCCACATGACCACGGGGATGCTCCAACCATCGTGAAAAATGGTCCCAAGTCACATTTTTCAGTACTATTGTAACTTCAAACAGTCACTAAACAGGATTCCAGCGGTTACCCTTTTTTAAATCATGAGCCTCGAGCCAAACTTCTAAAACTTCAAAAGGATTTATTCGGAGTTAACATGCCGGCACTACCTGGGTGTAGCCGACTCTGAGACACATCATTCACTGTCACCCTTGACCCTGGTTTTCCCCTCCACCCCCTGGGTATATCATAATTCATATTCTCCAATGGGACACCTCCATAGCCCAGAGTCATCAATCATGCTCTCCCATTAGATATTTGCAGGGCAGAAACTTCAGTCGCCTAGTTACTATCTTTGAACAACTATGTATGGAATGCGCTTTCAATTTTCAAGCTGCCACACTGCTCTTCCCCCTCCCTTTCTGTTGGCAACTCTTAAAAGACCAGAGAAATATTGTATGAGTTGCCAGAATGGTTATAAGTTGAGGACTATCTATAATAATTAGCCTTCCAAGATTGTCCAGAGAGGAGACACAGCCAGATGGACTAATTCTACTTTGTTGATAAGTCTGAAAGTACCAAATCTCTCCCCGCACCTCACCAATCTCTTCCGAGCCTCGTTCTCCACCCGTTACACAGCTGAGGGTTCGGCTGCCCCTTATCCAATTTTCCCCTTTGCTTTGAGCCTTCTTCATCCCCCAAGGTCATTCCTACAGACCATCGCAGGCCTCTCCTCGACTTCCAAACCACCCCTTAAAATTCCAGGTTTCTAAAGTCAGGCCAACGAAGCCGGTGATGGTGAGGTTTTGCTTATAGAGAAAAGCACCTCCTGTTGAGTCTTTCGCAGTTGTTGCTCCAAATTCCTGGATTCCTCTTGCTGGTCCAGCAGCTCCTCCACCTTCCGCTCCCTGAAACAAGAGACTGGAAGGTCAGAGGTTCGAGGAAGGGGATGATGGGCACCTGAGAGACTCAAAAAAGGAGAGAAAGGAAGAAGGGAGGGAAGGAATTGGTGCGGGAAAGGAAAGGAGAGGGGAGGGAGGGAGGGAGGAAGGAAGGAAGGACGGACGGGAGGAAGCAAGGGAATTTGTGTGAGAAAGGGGAAGGAGGAAGGGAGGGAGGGAGGGAGGAAGGGAGGAAGGAAGGGAATTTGAGAAAGGCAGAGAGGAAAGAAGGAAGGGAATTTGTGTTAGAAAGAGGAAGGAAGAGGGGGAGGGAGGGGGGGAGGGAGGGTGGAAGAAAGGAAGGGAATTTGTGAGAAAGGAAGGGAAGAAGGAAGGAAGGAAGGAAGGAAGGAAGGAAGGAAGGAAGGAAGAAGGAAGGAAGGAAGGAATGGAATTTGAGAAAGGCAAATTCCATTCCTTCCTCCACACCCTCAGAGCATCTCCAGTCCCCACCTCAGCCGCACAACTCACAGCTCGCCTTGTAGACGCCGCACATGGGCCTGACGTTCGGCAAGCTGAACCCCAAGGTGGGGCTGGTTGGTCTCCAACTGGGCCACCAGGGGGGGTCCCTGTTTCTGCTGCAGCTCCCACAATTGCTGTGCAGGAAGGAAGAATGATTTTTTTAAAAAAAAAAAACCTGAGGTTGAAGGTGCAGAGAGGGTCACCCCCCCCCGCCCTCGGAAGCCTCCCGAAAGGACTACGATGAATGATGAGAATAATTCTCAGACAGCTAGCCCTTGGCTTCCAACAGCTCATATAGTGACCGTTCCATGTTACAACAGCACTGAAAAAAGTCCTTCCCCTTCCCTCCCTCCTCTTTTCCTTTCCTTTCTTCTATCTTCCTTTCCTTTTCATTCCCTTCTCTTCCTTTCCCTTTCTTTCATCTCCTCTTTCCCTTCCTCCTTTCCTTTCTTCTTATCTTCCTTCCCTTTTCTTTCTCTTCCCTTCTCTCTCCCTTCATTTCCTTTCCCTTCCCTTCTTTCCCTTCCTTTCATCTTCCCTTTCCCTTCCTCCTTTCCTTTCCTTTCTCTTATCTTCCTTTGCTTTTTTCTATCTTCCTTTGCTTTCATCTTCCCTTTCCCTTCCTCCTTTCCTTTCCCTTCCTTTCTCTTCCTT